CATCTGCTTTGCTGTGCACTTGCAGTAGTTTCTATTTGGGTAAAACCTGAACCCCTATCAGACTCACCAATCTCTTGGAAAACCAAGAAACGAGATCGAGTATCCCGTTCCTCTAGCTGAATATCGCTCCATGACTTTCACTGTTCAAGAACTATTATGGATTAAAGAGCTTCTTTCGTCTCTCGGCATCGATCATCCAAGTCTAATGCAGCTGGTTTGTGACAGTAAATCTGCTCCACAAATTGCAGCAAATCCAGTGTTTCATGAGCGTACAAAACATACTGAAAATGATTGTCAATTCATACGAGATGAACTCACTGCAAGAAACATCGCCACCTTTCACGTTGGCACAACCGAGCAACTCGCAAATATCCTTATCAAAGCACTCGGTCGAAAACAGTTCACAAGTATTTACTACACAAGATGGGTGTTTGTGACTTCCACGCTCCACCTTGAAGGGAAGTATTTGGATATACTAGGTATATAACTCACGCTACGCGCGAGTCTGTATTAATATTTTGGTTTAATTATTTTTTAGCTACTATCTTTAAAATTATTAAAAATATAATATATTTATAGAAATTTTTATTTATATAAAAGAATTTAATATATAATGTGTAATTTATCCTATTTTTATTTATAAATTTTAAAAAACTATTAAATAAAATAATATCAGTGACACCTATCGAATTATCCAACTTTGACGTACATATACATTTGATTTAGAGAAATATAATCTTGCTAAGATTTTGGTATTATTTTCTGTTTTCCATAGAATTTCTATAGTTCTTTTTTTCTTGAAGGTTTATCTGTTCAAATATTTAGTTTTTTATTGAAAGTCTTATTGATGTTGTGTACCACTGCATATATAATCCATGATTCATGTTGATTCGCATTTAATTTTGTTAGAAAGCTGTAATGATCATGCAAAACTATTTTTCCTTCTCCATTATGTCTTCCAAGAGTTTTATGTTATATTTTTTATTCTGTTTTCATTGTTTTAATTGTTAAATCGAGTTGTTGTAAATTTTTTTTAATTGATAATAGTTACTTTTTTATACATGTATTGTTAATTGTTAATTCTTAATTTTTTATTTAAATTTAAAATTTTTAAACCATATTAATATTTTCTAATTTAATAAATATGTTGATTTGGATCAATCAGATTGAATTTACTTTTTTTTGTTGGACATAGTTTGTTAAATTAACTTTTAATGTTTTAATTATATTTAATAATTTTTGGTGTGAATACAAAACTGATGTGGACAAATTAAATCAATTTTTTCCGTCCTAATCATACTTAACATCTTTTCATTTAATGAAAATGCGGATCAATCAGATTGAATTTACTTTTTTTTTGTTGGACATAGTTTGTTAAATTAACTTTTAATGTTTTAATTATACTTAATAATTTTTGGTTTGATTACAAAACTGATGTGGACAAATTAAATCAAGTTTTTCCGTCCTAATCATATTTAACATGTTTTCATTTAATGAAAATGCTGATGTGGACCTATCAGATCGAGTTTAAAAAAAACGAAATTAATATATTAAAAAAGTAAAAATTAATTTTGTAATGTTTTAATCAAATTTAACATTTTTATGTTTAATGAAAGAAGATGATGTGGACCAATCATATTGAGTTTCTTCATCTTAAGCATACTTAACATTTTTGTGATTAATGAAAAATGATGATGTGCACCAATCAGATTGAGTTTTTTCATCCTATTAATATTTTTAAAAAAATAGAAATTAATTTTGTAATGTTTTAATCAAATTTAACATTTTTATGTTTAATGAAAGACGTTGATGTGGACCAATCATATTGATTTTTTCATCTTAATCATACTTAACATTTTGTGATTAATGAAAAACAATGATGTGGACCAATCATATTGAGTTTCTTCATCATATGTGGACGCTCTCAATGCACTATGCCATCAACTTTTATATATTATACTAGGTATATAATTCGCGCTACGCGCGAGTCTGTATTTATATTTTGGTTTATTTTTTTTAGCTACTATCTTTAAAATTATTAAAAATATAATATATTTATAAAAAATTTCATTTATATAAGAGAATTTAATATATAATATGTAATTTATCCTAATTTTATTTATAAACTTTAAAAAATTATTAGGTAAAATAATAACAATGACACCTATCAAATTATCCAACTTTCACGTACATATACATTTGATTTAGAGAAATATAATTTTGCTAAGATTTTGGTATTATTTTCTGTTTTCCATAGAATTTATATAGTTCCTTTTTTCTTGAAGGTTTATATGTTCAAATATTTAGTTTTTTTATTAAAAGTCTTATTGATGTTGTGTACCACTGCATATATAATCCATGATTCATGTTGATTCGCATTTAATTTTGTTAGGAAGCTGTAATGATCATGCAAAACTATTTTTTTCTTCTCCATCATGTCTTCCAAGAGCTTTATGTTATATTTTTATTCAGTTTTTATTATTTTAATTGTTAAATCGAGTTGTTGTGGATTTTTTAAAATTGATAATTGATAATGGTTACTTTTTTTATACATGTATTATTAATTGTTAATTTTTTTTATTTAACTTTTAAATTTTTAAACCATATTAACATTTTCTGATTTTATAAATATGTTGATTTGGATCAATCAGATTGAATTTTTTTTTTGTTGGACATAATTTGTTAAATTAACTTTTAATATTTTAATTATACTTAATGATTTTTGGTTTGATTTAAAAGCTGATGTGGACCAATTAAATCAACTTTTTCTGTCTTAATCATACTTAACATTTTTTTATTTAATGAATATGCTGATGTGGACCAATCAAATTGAGTTTCTTAATCCCATGTGGACGTCCTCAATGCACTATGCCATCAACTTTTATATATTATATGATGATGCTGATGTGGACCAATCAAATAGAGTTTTTTAATCCTATGTGAACATCCTTAATGCACTTTACCTTTAACTTTTATATATTATATGATGATTACATATATCTATATTCAATATTATAATTTCCATATTTCCGATATATTAGAAACTAAAATCCTAACCTCATTTGTAGTATAAATACTCTTCTCATAATTCAATAAAGATCAACATATTCTTCTCACTTTGACAGTTTTTTTGAACAGCAGTTCTTGGATTATTGCCTTGTTCCTGAGTTTTTTTTATTAAACGCGATGGTTGTGATTCATTCAAATTAATTGTTTAATTCCGTTTTTAGGGCTAAGTGTAATAGTCTTTTTGGTGGTAAAATGTTAATGCTACGTGTAATAGTTGGTTTTGTAACAATATATATATATATATAGTTTTTGCTTAACAAAAAAAAAATAGTTGCTTTTGATCTTTGACCGAAGAGGCACGTGCGCAGCATCTTTTGATTCATTGTGTTTCTGGTCGAGGATTTTGCTTGCCCTGTCATCATCTTTAATTATCTTAACATTCTTCTCTCAATTTTGTTTTTGGTCTTAATTTCTATTCTGTCGTAATCCTGATTCTTGAACTAGACCTTCTATTTCATTCTCCGTTCCTCTAAGAAAAGAAAATTAACTTTCTATGGATTTGACTTTTAATATGCGTACCTTTTTTTTAATACACTTGATTTGGGTAATGACTGTAATTCAGTAATTATGCCGTGATAGCATAAACATTATGTAGAATACTCTCGTGAACATATCGTATATAAATTACTGGTATATGTTATATAAAATAAAATAAAAACTAAAGAGCATTACTTATCATACCACCGTAGTTTTTTCCAAAGTTTCGCGTACCGGTGCATAACAACAAAGCAGCCGGTGAAGAAGAAGCCTGCGCGCATATGATTGTTAAGTTTCGCATGCCGGCGCATAACAACTAGTTAAAAATTGAATAATATAGTAATTGTATCTGCTACGCGATCAGACCTACGTGCAGCTGGGAAACAGTCAACTTTAAAGTCACGTGGCTTGTTTGATACGAGAATAGGTAGGTTTACAAATTTCGTTGCTCGTTTAGATACAAAACAAGTTGAAATACATTTTGAGAAGATGGGAGAATAGCACCGGTTTTGTATTAAAGACACATGAAACTTCGTAACTTCTTTTTAAAGCCCAACTTGTCCTTCGATAAACCAGCTTCTCATTAATATATGTCACATCACATAAATCTTGAATTTCATTTTTCATATGTGTCAAACATGTTTGTCTTTACATCTTTCGGGGCCGTGGAATGAAATTAAAAATTATAAGTGTCATGAGATACAAACACATAAAATGTTTATAGAGATCCGTTTTCTCTATATTTAATTGGGTCATGTGCAACCGTAACCGTACATGTCTGCCCTCGTCTCTGTAGGAGTGTTCCTTGCACTTTGAGATTCGCATTTATAATATATTCCAAACTATAAGTGACTAAATGAGAGAGAATTATTCCATCTTCTCAACTAACAACGAGAATAGAACTTTTCCATTCACTCGCACCTCATCTTCAGGGCCGTATCTAAGGTGTTAAATTTACAAACATTCGCTTTCTCTAATTATTTTTTTAAACCTTGCTTACCTCCAATTTGTTTTCAAATAAATAGTTTAAGAGACTATTTGAAGTTTTGGAGGCTATTTGTTTTGTACAAGTTTAAAAGATGTATTTGAAACTTTTTAAGACGCCTGTAAATTTACTTTTCAAACCTAGAAATTAAATAAAAAAAATTGAAAGTTTGAAACACAATTAACTAAGATATTAAAAAAACATTATCAGTATTTTTGTAACTTTTGTCTCATCTATTTTATTTTGTTTCTTAAAAAGAATCGTTTATGGTTTCTATAAAAGTAGGCAGCTTGTCTTTTACTGCGAAAATTCTAACACCAATCAACCAACCATTAGCATCGCCAACTATTCAAATTGGAATCCCCGTACGTGTATAAGTAGTGTCAAACATGTGCAGACCATTTACTTAGAGGTAACTAGCTCTCACAAAATAATTATTACAAGTTTCTCTCAAACTGTCAAAACACTAATGACGATCTTGTCTCTCGCCAACGTCCATCGAGTGTTCCTTAGTTTCCGAGGAGAACAGTTGCGATACAGCTTCATCAGCCACCTTGTTGACGCCTTTGAGAGATACGGAATCTTGTTTTTCGTAGACAAAGACGAGCCAAAGGGAAAAAACATGACAAATCTCTTTGTAAGGATCAAAGAGTCCAAGATCGCACTAGTCATCTTCTCTAGCAGGTACTGTAAGACTTATGAGTACTGAGGATAACCTTTTAACATATCTTTTCAAGTGTTTGTATTGATGGTATGGTATCCTAGGTATGCCGAGTCGAGCTGGTGCATGGATGAGCTTGTGAAGATAAAGAAACGTGTGGATAAAGGAAAGCTTCAAGTCATACCAATCTTCTACAAGGTTAGGGCAAGAGATGTGAGAGGACAGACCGGTGAGTTTGGTGACAAGTTCTGGGAGCTTGCAAAGGCTTCTGGAGGAGATCAAATCAAGGAGTGGATGGAAGCCCTTGAGTGTATCTCCAACAAGATGGGTTTGTCCTTGGGAGACAAAAGGTATTATTACTAATGCATGCTTCTTCTGTTTTTTTTCTCTCTCTCTTTAATTAGGCCGGGTTGTGAAGCATAATAATAAATTGGGTATTGAAATTCATGGTAATAGAAAATTGTAAAACTAAGTCAACTACCTAACTACTTGTCACACATGTGTTACAATTAGAAAACAATATATATGAATCCCAACAAGATGGGTCAGATGGGGTAACTGTGTTTTGAGCGACTTGATGATCTTAACGGGAAGACTTTAAAGTATAGTTCAAATTTTAATTTAGTTAAGGGATAAGATGGTTTGGTTTTTCTAAATTGGTTTTTACGAATAGCCAATTGTTTTGGTCAACAAGACCACAGGATCATTTTTTGGTTCCGAACACGAATGCTTTATTAGAAAAAAAAATGTTTATCTTTCATATTTTGTCTTGGGCTGTATTGATAATAGTATGATAGCTGAATATTCTCCATTTGAAAATATATGTTTTTTTTTATAAAATATTATTTTTATCAATTAATTGTGTGGTATATGAGCATATTCTAGTTTTAAAAATAAAGTTTGTTATCAATTACTTTTGCAGATTTTTTAGCTCTTAAATTTCATATGTGATTTGTTCATATTTTTGATTTTTTTTATGAGATATATAACTTTTTGTTGTTCAATAAAGTTAATATTTTTTATTTTATTCGTATATACTAAAATAAGTGACTATCAATTTATAATCTATTTTTTTTTAATTCATTGTTATCATTCAACACAGCTTCTATCTTATGAACTATAGATAAACGGTAAGATTTTGAAATGTTTAAAACAATGAGTTTTTATGCATTGTTTCACATAAATCAAAAGGTGTACGAACTAATAAAAAAATTCAATTTTGATTGAACTGACCATAATCCTACAAACATCAAATATTATGGCAAAAAAATTAGTTTATAAAACACTGCATTACCGATCATGACTAAATTACACGCATATTCCATGAAGTTTGTAAATTATATCAATAATGTATTGTACTAACATAAAAAATTTTAAAATTTTATATTATTATTAGTAACAAATTAAAAGTAAAATTTAACCCGTGCCATAATCCAGTATATATGACAGAGACAACTGTCATAAATCCATCAGAAATGTACATTGCCAATAGTTTTACGACATATTAAACTTTGTAGTGTATTTTGAATAGAGAAAAGTCGACTAATGTTTTGGATAAAAGTATATCATGGAACTGTGAATCTCTGATTTGTTGTCTTTCTTATCATAAAATTAAATAGTGTAAAAGATATGTGGAGCTGCTAATTTTTTCCTGTTAACGTGGCTTTTTGCCCTTTTCTCAACCATGTGGAGAGTAGAAATCGAACTCTCGTGGTTAAGAAACACTCAGAGGACAGAGGTAATATCACTTACGCTAGTTGATCCAAAAAGATGTGTGGAGCTTAATTGAATGATAAATCAATATCTTATTTTTGATACTGATACGGATGCAAATAATATATAACGTGATGCAAGTATAATGTACTAACATTTCTACAAAAGTTCTCCTCTTAATTATCTTTCTACTTCTTTCTTTCATTGAACTCTCAACTTGTGGTACGTTGCGTTCCTGTTTTTTTTTTTTTTGTTTATCATGTGGAGTGCTTTTATTTGAAACAAGATAACCATTGATTAACTAAGTTATGATAACCGGTGTAGTGGGCTAGTGGTTTAAGTGCAGGAGTTGGATCCATGTGCTCCCTAGTTCGATTCCCGGTGGGAAGGATGCTTTACACCATGTCATAAGGTATTAGCAAAAGCTGATCCCGAGCCATGGGGAAGATTAAGGTCCAGGCCCGAACTCCTCCTAGTTAACAAAAAAAAAAAAAAACTAAGTTATGATAATATTTGGCAGCTCCGAAGCTGACTTTATGAAGCAAGTTATTAAGGAGGTTGAGAAAGTTCTAGCCGCAATCGGATGTGAGGATATTGAAGATCATCATTGTGTCAACTTATTCCCGAATAAGAGGAGAAGGTTGCATCAGTTTTTTCCACTGTACGAGAAGAAAAGTGCTGAAAATTACCACCTGAATTTCTCCAATGCAAGAGGTCAAGAGGAGAAAAATCAAGAAGTTCTGATATCCAAACATGGTTTTATTAAATGATTCTAAATACATAAGATAAAATGTGGAGTTTCTCATCTTAGTATTTTACATCCCATGGCTGTTGAGTCATTAGTACTCGCTTTGTTTCATTATAACTACTGTTTCAGGATTTTGTACATATACGAAGAAATAATGTAAAATATTGTCTACGTTATTTATATTTATTAAATTTGTAAAGCAAATAACAGATATATAATAAATCAGAATGTGGAAAGTGAAAACAAATTATGCATAAATATAAGAGTAATTGTATTGCAGGAGAATATATAACTGTAAAATTAGGTGAATGTTCTGACACCTTTTTAACAGTTTTTAGATATACAGTAAAAATTCTATAAATAAATATTTAATAAATTAATAAACTCTATAAATTAATAAATTTTTTTAATCACAAGTTGAACTGGTGTAAAATATAATACAAATTGATAAGATAATAAGATAATTTTTAAAAAAAAACTTATGTAAATATAGGGTTCCATTAATATCATAAATTAATAATTATCATAAATTAATTTTATATAAATATATAATTATAAAAATCTATTAAAATATGAGTATATTATTATTTATTATATTAAAGTTAAAATATTTTTATAATTTATCTCTAATTTATAATAAAATTTTAGAAAATATTATAATTTTTAAAATATTTTTTAATTAATTATTATTGTTTATTATAAGTTTTGCACATATATTAAAAAGTTATTTAATTTTTCCTTTTCCAAAATAAAACATGAGTTCCAACATAATTTAACCAATAGAAAATTAATATATAAAATTTAAACAGTTAAAACAATTATTTTTGTATATTTTTAAAAACATCAACTAACTTTGAAAAAAAGAGTTTTAAAAACATTTTATAAAAAAACATAAAGAGTAATAGATAATTAGTTTTAATCAAAAGAGATAAATTAATAACTTTGTTGGCACACATTTATTGCAATCAACTTTGAGGTTACATATGCCTATTGGTCCCTATTTGAGTGCTTGAGTTTTTCACCTAGGCAAGCCAACGATTTTTTAACAAACTGTTTCCAGGCAGGTAGCAGGCTTACCAAGTCAGGTGTGATGTACTATCCAACATGTTTCCGTTGCGCATCGCGTGGATGAGACTTGTGGAGAAGAATAGAGTATAAAAGGAGGCTTAAAGACAAAGGAAAGAGAATCCGCGATCCGTAACTTTGAATCCGATACCTAAAGAGAAAGACCAAATCTAGAGAGAATAGACCATGAAAGGAGTGACTTTTGATCTCCACCTCACCGGAGCTCGCCTTTGTCCTGTTTAAACAACAACACTGAAAGGAGTACCGTCTTCCAGAAAGAACACCATCCGAGATAAGCCTTCATCCCTCCCTCCCTCCCTCTATCGTACATCATAGGACCCATGAAGAGAGAGTTCTTACTCCGCTCTCGTCATGGTCCCTTTGTCATACTTCTGTCCATACTAGAGGTGCCAAACACGCTAACCCGCCCCAAATGATCCGCACTGCAGCGGTCATTTTTCTTTTCTGGACTGCAGCGGGTTGATCTGTGCGGCCGCGGTTCACTCCTAATATGTCCATACCCACCTAGCCAAACAATGCAGGCTATGCGGACTAAACCGTGGGTCTTGAAAGTTGCAGGTTTTGTAAACGAAAATTTAGAGGTTTTCAGATTTAGTCTATTCAGCATCGCCAATGGACTTACAAAAAATCTACCAATCTCAAACTCTCTGAATTGTGTCTCTCTAAATTCTGTTAAAAAAATAACATTAGTTACTTAATTAGTAACAAACAATCTGTAAAACATTTTTAAATTGATATCCATTATTAAATTGATCAAACAAAAAAATTTACAAGCTTCTTTATAATGAAATAGTGATCTTCTTTATTTTTAATCAAGAGTGTCTCTCTTTAAAAAACAGAAATTTGTTTGGCGTGATTGATGTATTGTCGGCTCAGTTATCTGATCAAATTTGTTTAGGGCTTTAACTTTTGGTTTTAGTCTGACGATTGATATAATGATTGTTGTTTTAGTTTTGTTGGTATAAATTGTACAGTTTACAAAATCAAGAAATTTATTGAGAAAATGTATTTTGCAAAAAGCCACTACGATGCTCTGTTTTGCTACAAAACTCTTATTCTGCGGCGCAAACCCGTTGACCTGAAAACCTGTGACAGATTACACCACCAAACTCAGAAACCACGATAGACAAGACCGCAAGACCCGTTACTCAACGGTCCCAGAATGTCATGTTCGCATTCGCCCCATAGCAGACCTATATGGGTCAAACCTGTGGATCATCGACCCGTTTGACACCTCTAATCCTTACCAAACATCAGACGGATATCACAATCCTCAGACATGGTACCCAAACCATAAAAATCTCACCAAATCTATCCTCCTAAGCAGTGGTGAGTGTAGAAATTATTTTTACTGGTGTCATAGACAGTTATAAATAGAGAAACCGGGTTCAATATAATCAATAAGCCTAAATTAGCCACTAATGCTACCATATTTTTTTAACAATTACAATTCTAATATTTATGTGGGTTAAATTTTCATCCTATCCCATCAAGTAGACTCGCCACTGCTCTCAAGTTCTTATCCCCAGTAGGACGTGTATTGACTTGAGCGCCAGAGAACCTTCGGAAAGAAAACCTCTTTCTGGTCCTTCCCGGAAGTATGACTTACTCATTTGCCAGTATATGCAGAACCCCGTCAAACTTTTGCCCCAGAGTCGCATACCGTTAATCCCCCCAGAGTATAAAACTCAAAGACCCAGCTCCACTACCCGAGCAAACACACACCCTCCGTAAGCATTCTGTAATTTGCTCCAAACAAATTGGCGCTAGAAGGAGAAGGATAGACCGGTATGATCCGGAACCTGCAGCGATGACG